TGTGATATGTAATGATTAAAAGAGAAACACACAAACTTATTTTTTGTGTTGTTGTGTGATAATAAATTTTATAAACAATCCCCCCCTCCTATTTTTTTTTAAAAAAAAAAAAAAAAAAAAAAAAAAAAAAAAAAGAAGAACAAAAGACAAAATAATCCAAAAGGGAAGACTTCTAGTAAGTTTTCTTTCTAGATTTGTATAGTTATAAGTACCTTACTTTCTCTTTCATCTATCACAGAAGCACAAGCATAACATATTAAACATGTAAATTCCCATTAAATCAATTCAGAAAAATGCAACTCTATGACTAGTTACAGGTCAAATGATTCCAAATTTAAGTTTACTCACAAGACTCCATATATGCAATATTTTTCATCTAATAGTAGAATATATACAAACATAGAATGTAAGAAAGACAAGCAGCAAGTTACATGTGTGGATCAGTAAGTATTACAATTGATTGGTAAAATGGCCAAACAACCGGTGTATAATAGTAACTCCAAAAAGTTCAAATATCCACTGTAAATTCATTGTTCCTATCAAATGTGTGTTAAAGGTGCAATCGTCCAGTCATCTGATTCAGCATCTTCAAAGAAATGTTTGGTTCATGACATATGTGCTAGAAAGAGAATAAAGTATTTAGATCTACCTGAAATCTTTTAAGACAGACAAGAAATGAAACCATGCAAACTCTAACTGGAGGCCCTGCCCACCAAAAGATCTATAAACGCTCAGTTACACAACGAGATGTAAAGGAAACAGCATTTCATTCTTAGAAGCAGCTCAAGGGTGACACTGGGCGTACCCACAATCCCTCTGCTAAGCCTGCTCATGTGGCAACCCTAACCAGTAACAACCTGAGTGCACACAATCACATTTTACAAACCAGACCCTTCTGAAATCAATACCCAACAATTTCCCCAAAAGAATCCAAACAATACTTGCATGGAGAACTAAACATTTACACATAGCTTTATCTGAACTCTATTACTGATACTTTACATAGGGCCCAAAAATGAGTAAGATTTGGGTTTTTTTGTTCCTTCTGGGTATTTCTGGTTGTGTTTTATTTGCTACAGTGCTGGAGATTGAACCCTGTGCCTTGCACACACTAGGCAAGTATTCCATCATTCCACTGTTCCCTCAGAGACAAACAATCTATAAGAAAGGTTTCACTCTTTTAAGCTCTTTCTACTGTGTTCATGACAGTTTCTACACCCTATTTCATCAAATAATGTTCCTCCTCTGTTAAAAGAAAAAAAAGATATCCTTGACTGCTCAAGACATACCCTCTAGATGCCTGCCTGAAGGGGACTAACAAGTGATGGGTAAGGCTCAATCAGGTACTTCCACGCATATAAACAGAAACCTTTCTATTCATTTTTGACTCCTATGTTACATTGTACTGAAGAATTCGTAAAGTACCCTGCACTCCTGAAAAACAATCACTATATAAATAGGAAGTTTTTTTTGTTTTTTGGTCTTTTTGAGACAGGGTCTCCCTATGGCCCCAGCTGTCCTGGAACTCACTATGTAGACCAGGCTGGCCTTGAATTCACAGAGATTTGCCTGCCTCTGCCTCTGCCTCCCAAGTGCTGGGATTAAAGGCGTGTGCCACCACGCCCAGCAGGAAGTATTATTTTTAAAAATATTTTATTATTTTTATTTTATGTGTATGAATGAATTGCCTGCATTTATGTAAGTACACCCATGTCATGCAATGCCTGTGGAAGTCAGAAGAGGGCATCAGATCCTCCTGGAACTGGAGTTACGGATGGTTATTAGCTGCCATGTGGGTGCTGGGAATCAAATCTGGGTCCTCTGCAAAAGCAGCCAGTGTTCTTAACCACTTAGCCATCTCTCCAGCTCCAGAAGTATTATTAAAGTGAAACCAAAACTGGCAATGTAAATTACTCATGGGCTTAGGTTAAACTGACCAAACTCAGATGTCTCAGATTCCAGAGGCTGACACCAGTTTGTTCTAATAAGGAAAATTATCACCACACTGTTTTGTCAAATCCTCAGATTATTCCACATGATTCAAACACATGTGCACAACTCAAGTGAAGAATTCTCTCTGGAACAGTTCATAATTCTAGACATACACACACACACACACACACACACACACACACACACACACACACTTCTGGCTCTTCTTATCTCGTTGAAACAACAGGAATACTATATGAAACCAGAGTAAAGTAGAAACTAAGAACCATCACTGTCAGTTCTGTTTTTAAGTACTCAGTTCTCTTGACCTACAAAATATGATTCTTTTACCATTTTTTTCCAGCTACTAAAGTGAAGGAACTGAAACCAACTTTTAAGTTCTGCAGAAATAAAAGTAATTTTGAACAAGTGTGCTGTCCACGAAAGAGAAAATGACAGCATCCCCACAAAGGTGAGCAGCATTTTTGTTGAGTGCTAGGGAAGTCCTGCAAGAGATTTTCTACATTCAGTCAGTCTTCAGAAAGAATAACCACAACCCCATCACTCTTTTGGCAAAGGGCAGAGAACCAGAAACAGGCTGAAGTTGGCACAAAAGTAGAGTGATGTCATGGGCAAAAGCTTCAGCGGCTCAGTCTCTATAACCACTGAGCTGCAAAGCCCATCAGAAGCTACTACTCTGAAGGCTAGATGGAGGTGCATTTAGGGCAGTGACTGAGTGAGAGAACAGAGGTGCATACCAGCTGCCACCCCAACTCCTCACCACCACACCCTGCCCTGCAGAGCAGCTACCCTGTCAGTACAGACATCAGGGCTTGCCTCCCAGACTGGGTTATGCATCTGCTCCGTCTGGAGTTGGCCTGGGGAAGCACAGATGCTTGCTTAAGTCTTCACCACCTTGGGCTGTAGCAGCTTCCTTTGCATTTCTTTTCTGCTTTCTGTGAGGAAGAAATCTAAACATGTAGATCGATCTGTATTAGACTAGATAGAAATAATGGAACAGAAACTTCACTGACCATGCAAAACAACATATACAAACTGCAAAATTAGTTTGGAAAGGGCAGCATACGAAGAACAGGTAACAGAACAGGAATCACAGAGAAGGGAGAGTTTGGTGGCTGGTTTCAAGTTGCAAAAGCAGATA